GTCCTCCGGCACCTCGAGGGTCCTGCTTGTTCCTCGAAGCTTTTCGCCGGGGCTGCGGCTCGCAGTCACCTTAATCCTGCTGCCCTCTGCCGCTCGGAAATTAGGAAGAGGGAAATAGACTCCTGGGTTGCAGTTACTCCTGACGGAAGGATTTCGTAAAGAATTTTAGGGTTGTTAAATCTAGGGCTTTCTAACTAGATCTTTGATCTGAGAATATGAACAGTTAAARATGGCTCTTTTCTCTGTTTTGGATTAAAAAAGGAAAAAAAAAAAGATTACTAACAGCAATTAAATATTCAGAAAATATATTGTTTTTTTTTCTCCAGTGAGATAATATATGCAAAATAAACACAAAAAAAGAACACAAGTACAGTTGACCTGTTGATTCATTTTTGCTTTTTTAAACTGAAAATGATGCTTTCCATCCCTGGAAAAAAAGGTGCAAATATCTCAGTAATTACAATAGGTGTAAACAGAGATGTAGAAGCTAGAGTTTAAAAAATGCTCCATAGAAAGAAGCCAATTTTATTTTAGTGTGATGCAGTCATAAATAACATCCACGGGATGTTATGTGGAATTACTAGAATTAGCAGTTTTATTTTAGCTAAGCACCTGCAGTCCCTTTTCCCCCTTATCCATTCCTCTGGGATTAACAGACTGCCCTTTACTCCCAGGCAGGGCGAGGAGGACAGGACCAGGACTGATGGTCAGGCTCAGGAGACAAGCTCCATCACTGGGCACACACCACRTGCACGGACTCCCATCGCAACCACACAGCAGATCCCGACTTCTTCCTGAAAACCCTGACACAAACTTTGATGTATTTCTCTCTCACACACAAATATTCCAGCCTTTGCARCCCAACAGCAGCTACCTGCTACTTACCAGCACTAAATCCGGCTGCTATTCTCTCTAGCACCACCTCAGCAAGCTCCAGAAATACCATTTCTGATCATGGATTCATATCCTTTGATACAGTCCTTACACCTGCACACGGTCCAAGCCAGCAGTTATAATAACGATGCTTTTTACTCTAGAAAAACAGAGTAAAACTCCAGAAAAAGATACTCCCACCATCCCTCCATGTGCCTCACTGAGGAGCAGCAGAAAGATCTGTCATTAAGGTCATCCTCCTCCTCCTCGCTGTGTATGCAACTTCACAGTCTACAGGTGGGTCCTTGTGTACCACTTGGATTAAAAACTGATCTGGAAAAGATATTCTACAGATGCCTAAAATGTCAGGTTCRTTTTAGAAAAAAATGCAATATATCAGAAGTAATTGTGTCATATCATATATACATGTTTGTCTGTATATTTGTGTATAAGCACATGCAGTAAGATGAGTAATACTAAAAAAGCAATTTATAGTTGCTATTTTTTCTCCTAAAAATATCATAGAGACCGTTCTAAATTCTGAAGTTCTTTTAACTGTTACTAACAGATGATTAATGCTTCAGGTTAAGCGAACTAACACTCTTACCACTCAAAATATTTATTCATTGAGCAGAACAAATTGTCAGCTCTCTAGGAACAGACACAATCGAGTTTCCTATTTGAAAGCGTGTTAACTCTTTGATTTAAAAAGCATTTGAAGACCATGTGTCTGGTGTCATTTTAATTATCTTCTACACTGGAGAGAGGGTGGCTATGAGGATGTGCAAAATGGGACGTCCAAACCTGCTGGGAGCCGAGGTGACACTGCTGAACGTGTCCTCTGCTGCTGCTTTACACAACATGGGTATTTCTCAACACTGCAGCACCCTATCAATATGTCTTGTGCAGGGCTCATATGTTTAACACCTTTTGGAAATTAATTGATTATTATTAGGTGTTAATGCTGATGATCAGCAAAGGGAGAAAAGGACAAAGCTGGGAAGACAGAAGGGTGCATAATCAGAGCAAAGAAAGGCACAAAATAGGAAATGTATGGTAATCTGCAAGTATAAAATGCCAAGTACCAAAAAATTCCCACTGGTTCAAGGCTTCAAGCGCTCCTTAATATGAAGCCTAATTATTTTTGCYGTTTGGTATTTTTATTAAATGTGCACTGAAATACGAGGCTTTTAGCTAATAGAACACATGTGTAGGTAGAGCGAGCGCTTTCTGGCATGATTTCCTTAGTTCCACGAGCGGCGATGCCAGAAAAACAAGATCTAAATTCAGCGCAACTACCAGAACAGAGAATTTAAAGGAAAAAAAAAAWTWAAAAAAAAGAGAAGGAAAAAAAGAAAAAACAAATCCCCAAAAAATCAATTGCTGGTAACACTCTGCAGAGAAGCTACAATTATCACTATTAGGATACTAAAAACATAACTTTCAGTTTGGAGCTTTACCGATTCAATTTCCCAGCAGACTTGTGTCACTTTTGCTTTGGCTCACGCTAGGTTAATAGCTTTGTGCACTGGTTTCTTGTACAACCTTTTCCTCGTGATTCAGAGTGACAGCCCGGGTCAGGAAGCAGAACCAAACCGTATCCACATCTATGGAATACCTATGGTCTGCACAGTAATAGGTGAGAAACAGAGGCATAAAATGAATTCCCAAATGGAATATCCAGTAGCTGAGATAAGATCTAACACCTTCAATAAGTATACGCTGGTCACGAAGAACATTCAGTAAYTGAATGAAGTCTTGGAAGAGACAATTTATTTACTTCTTGTGAGTATTGTCCCTTGGAAAGGTGCATTAAAGTCCCTAAAAGAGGCAGAAAAAGCCTCTCTCCAAAGTAACGGACAGGTGTGAAAGCTACACACCTCTTTTTGATCAGAGGTCCCGTACAGATGATTGCAAACTCCTGGATTGTTATGACTTACATTTGCACTGAAGCAAATCATCTGACAGATTTCTGTGCTCTTTTCCCACTCCAAGCGCCAAGGAAAATGTATTAGTTTGAACTTCCATACTAAAACCACAAGCCCAACTTAGCTTAACTCATTTTCTTTTGCAATTTTCACAAGCTAAAAGCTCAGAAAACGGTCACAACCCAGATCAGCTGATGAGCAGAACCCAGCGCAGCCACAGACCTCCTTTCGACCCCTCGCACTCAGCGCTGCTGTAAGGAATCATGTGAGGGCTACTCATCCCTTTAGCGCAAACAAGTGGCTTTGAAACTGCTGATGAAGGTTTCAGTGGCTAATTAAGGATGGAGATAGCATCCACTAAATATTTGCTTGCTTGCTTGTATTTCTGGGTTTAGTGGAAAACAGTTAAGCAGCAAATACTTTGGGGAGAGCTCAGCAGCTCCTGGGAATTGGTCCAGTTGCCAGCTCAAGTGTGACAACGCCAGGCTGCTGATTCACATGGGACCATAGCTGTTCTTTCACACTAAAATGCAATGCTTTAAGAAAAATAATTACATTTCACATTTGTTTTCAAAGAAAATTAAAAGCAGAGTCCAGAGCCCAGTTAGTTAAAATACAAAAGAAAAAATGGATGAGAATCTAGATTTCCCACATACACTTCTCAATGAATATGCATCAGATATCCATATATATGCACACACGCATGTATACCCATATTTACCTATAAATATTTTAGAACACTTTTCTGCACATATTCTGCACATATTCCTGCAAATAGTCAGGTCAGCAGGACTCCATTTCCAGGCTTCTGGGATTAGGGAGCCCCATAACTATTTTAGCATGGAAAACTGCTGAATGTTGCCATTTTATGAAGGGACTCGCCGTTCCCTGCCCAGCACGGCTGTTGTCAGGAAAATGTGCTCATCCAAGGAGTTCCATTAAAAATAGCCTTAGTTTGCACTATTTTAAACTACACTCTTTTGTTCTGTTTAGCAAAACAGAGGTGCACTTTGTGGCACAGTTAATGATGTTCTGTCCTACTCACTGTGAAATAGTGTTTCAAGGAGAAAACTAACAGTATCAAGTTGCAATTAAAAAAAGTGCAAGTGAATCCACACAATTTCGCAAGAAATAATGCTGCTCAGTATTAATCTTCCAATAAGATGTCATTTGGGCAGCAGTATATCACACAGAAAAAAGAAATAACCATAAGCTCTAAAACAGTTTGAGACATCTCCAGAAAATCACCTCTCCGAGTCCGACTTCTGCATGAAGTACTTTGAATTAAAGTCTCAATAATGAACATTTTCTAAAGCTTTTTGTTTCTTTGTTATACTCTAGATTGCTCCCCTTCACAAGACACTGTCTGTAGTCAAAAGTTCAGAGCACCAGCAGCTTCTTTAAGGCTTCCAAGTTCAAGTGGGTGATGTGAGTCTTGTCAACACAGGGCAGCGTTCAAGCCCTAGCCATGTGCCTCACAGCTTGTTAACGTTCAACATGAACAAAAGCTAAAACATAACAACTTTACTGAAGCAGCCTCTTATAGAAATATTTTGGCTATGGATATTTTAATAGACTTTAATTTTTAGCAAAGGGTGTCTGAGATTAAATGTTAGCAATTTTGCTGACACCTGACATGGAAATTCTGCTAATTCAAACATTTATTGACTCATCACTCAAAATAAAAACTTGCCTTTTCTTACCTCATACATGCATAAGCACCTAATAAAGCCATCTTATCAAAAAGAACAAAAGCAGATGTGAAAGATCTGTTCCTCCCTAGATAGCCATATAACGAAAAAAAAGAGCTGCTTAAAACAGAGCAATAAATGTTCTTATGTTTGCATTGACTGTAGTAGATTGCATCCACATCTGGTCAGTGACAGTTGATAACAGAAAAAGGAACATACTGTACACAGAATAATCAATCCGAGTACTAAACCTAAGGCTGAGGAGGTCAATGACAAGGTATAAAACAGTAATAAAGCAGATTGCAGAGGASAATGAAATAAGTTGAGTCAAATATTTTGAGCCCATAGAAAAAAATACTTGGCTTAACTTTTTATCATTTTGCTTTGTTCATGTAAACAAAAAGACCAACACAGATTTTAAAACAACCACYAATAATGTGAAGTCATGATAGATGCAAAATTTATTATAAAAAGTTAAATGTGGCTTAAAACTCAGTTCAGCTCTTACCTGCCCGTCTTGACCAACATGAACTTGATGTATCTGTAGATTTCCCTGTAGAAGAAAAACAGTGACAATAAGCACTTGGAAATTTCACAAGTTGTTTCAGTACCAGTAGGTTTTATTTTTTGAGAGTTACTATATAGGATAAAGCACTTTTGTGCAAAGTCTGTGTATAACTTTTGAGGTAAGCCTTTTTTTTTTCTTCATTTTCCCTCATTTATATGAAATTGCAAATATAAGTCAACCCCCTACTCAATTAGAACTGTACATCGTTTTTACACATATGAATGCCATTTTCTATTTTATYGGTACAAAGTTATCATTTGCACTAACAGACTTTCCATTTTATCAAAATTCAACCCCAAATGTTGACATCTTTCCATTACTGGAATTGCATCTATTATAAAACATTCTCAGTAATGAAAACTATTTTTAAAGAAACTGTAACTAAAAAATCTGAAAAGGAAAGCTGTATCCTTACAAAAATAGCTTTTATTCTATGATCAGAGCTGTTACTCTGTTTAAAAGTAATTTACATTAAGAAAAAGAACTTCTCAAGCACTAAGTCTTGCAGTGAAATTTAAAAATTCTTTGAAGAAAAATGCCAATTCTTTGATTTTCATATTTTCTACATTTGCTCTTACTGGCAACAGTTCCTCTCTTTTTGAAGCTGTGTACATTGGAACATATTTAAAAACAGATGTTTCCATCTGTGATGAACAAATATAGACCTTAAAATTCTTACATACATGAATTCCTGAAAAAGACCATGGATACGATGGCATTTGAACCTCAAAATCACTACTACGAGTATCTGCTGAATCAGATTTTTTTCAATGGCTCTTTAAAACCATGGTAAATACCCAAGAATCGCTATAGCCTATTTGGAGCTCACTGCAGCTCCCCTCAGACCCACAGCATTTTGACCTATTTCTATTTCTCTTTAGGTTTGACAAGCTCTTCCCAAGGAGACTGCCTTTACAGATAATATTTATATAATACTTATTCTAATGTTCATTCTGCAATAGCTCTCTGTTAGCAGTATCCTTCCACACCAAAAATGTTTTTATGGGACTTCACTTAAGGTGCATTGGAAATGGGTTGAACTAACCCACAAGTAGGTATGTTAAATGAAAAACTCTACAGAATCTKAATCAGGCAGAATAAATATTATAGTCAGTACTTGTGCTTGGCCTTATTTTGCTATTATATCTCCACGTCAACAAGCTCCAAGAGTGCAAGAAAGAAGCTGACAGCAGCCTCTGTAGGTGCGTGTCTCTTTTATAGACGTGCTAACATGGAGGGACCTGCAATCTTCTCACTCAGGTAAACTCAACTACCTCTAAAGCTCGTTTGCCTTGAGTGAAATAAAGTCTAAATTGGAGGAAGTCATACTGGATTTACCCATTTCACTGAACTATTTTTATGCTAAAAATTATGAAGTGTAAATACCGCAGTGCTGATAGTTTGATTTGTAAGAAAGGTGGCTTCATGTCAGTGTGGAATAGACTTTTACTAGACGAGCTCTCTAGAATTCTCCACCTGATGCTCAACAGCACCCATAATTAAGGGTGCTCTGAATACATTCAGTTTATAAACCTAACTAAAATTATTTCATTTCTGAATAATAAGCTGGATTTCCTATAGCACTCTGAAAGCACTAAACTATTTCCAATAGAGACCATTAAAAGGCATCAGATCCCACGTACTCGGTCACTAAAACACACACCCTTCTTCGTTACTCAATAAAAATACAGAGGCAGAAGGAGAATTTGTCACTTAGTGCCTTTAGACAGACTCCACCCTGGCTCTAGCACCCTGATGKCTGTCCTCGTGGGTCTCTAAGGGGCTGCAGCAGTTCTCTATGTTCTGAGCAGTCGCTGCTCCATGGGCTCCAGGCTCACCTCGCTGTCCTGCGTGATTTGGACTTGTTCRCCTTGAGGTACCTGGGCTATGTGGAGGTGACCCTGTGGGATCCACAAAAAAGAAAACACCAAGAAGCATCAGAAGAAAATCAAAACCAAAGGAAGAAACTGTTAGCTTGGATTCAATAGATCATAAGATATGCACAACTGTAGATGGAAGGAAAATGGTTATTCAGTGAAAACAGTTAAGGATTGCATTATATAATCCACATTTCCCTATCTTTTTATGCAAAGGAGAACAGTGAATTTTGAAGCAATAATGTTTCACTTTCGAAGAAGAAGAAAATGAAAAACAAGTTTAATAATAAATAATATTAATGCAGCATATWTCTCTGCAACCACCTCAAAGTATCTTCATTTTGGACTAGCTCACTTTGGGGTAGATTGGAAGAATTCACTCTCCCAAAYGGGTATCCTTGAAACAATGCTCCCTTTTAAGAGATCTTGTAAATAGAGTTCTTAAAAYAGATATGCAAAGTACAAAACTAAGCGAGATATTTTAAAAGATAGTTATTCGTGTCTCTTTGTATGTTCACACAGTTATGGAAAAGGGCAGCTAAAGAAAAGGGCAGAGCTAAAGTCTGCTTCTCAAACTGATATAAATGGGTATAAACTGAATGCAGTTACTTATGTTGGCTGAGAATCTGCTCTTAACAGTTTTAATACGGTTAGTACTTTGTGTTGCAGACCACACCAGCCACTTCAGAATGATATCAAGCCTATCATTTGATAAAAGCATAGATAAGAAATGCAAGGAATTCCTCAAGCTTCCTGACTAGCCTCAAGATGTCTTTGCTACTATAATTTACCTGAAGGGAGATTGGATTCTAAATAACCTACTTCAGCATTTATAAGGCTTTGTGTTCATTTTAATATGCCTCTGTGAGACAGAGATTAAAGATAATCATTTGGAATTCTGTCAAAGGCTCTTCTCATTTTATAACACAAGAACAATTGCATGTGATTTTCAAAGAAACACAGATCCCTCTATTTCAAACAGTTTCATTTCCTTTGGAAGGAAACTGTCTATTTATAGGGAGAAAAAACATACTGAAAGTATCACTCTGACAATAGGGACTGTATATAAAATTAGAGCAGGGCCCAGTCCACGTTGAGATTAGAATCACTCCCTCCTTCACGTGAAACTCTCAGGGCTCCCAGGAAAAAGTGCTGAAAATTTAAAAGCTCCATTTTTACTGTCTTTTAATATAAGCCTCCTCTCTGAGGGAGGCAGAGGAGAAGGTGTTTTTTTTTTCCACTTTGGAATCATTCAGCATTCCCAAAAAGAACTGCTCGTTGGTGTTTTGCAGAAAAACAGCTAGTCTCCACGGACAGTAATTTTAATTTGTGCACAAAAACAATTCCAAGAGGAAAAATCTCTTTTAATCCTAGTTCCTAAACAAAGTTTATAGGGACTTAGCAAATCCTTGGCATTCAGTTTAATACTGATCTTTTTTTTAAAGGGAAAAAATCTGCTGTGCAGTCATATTTAGAAGTAAATAAAATCCCACCTGGATTTACCCAGTCTATCTTATAGACAGTGGTTCCCAGCATCCCAGCATTATAGCTACAGTCCAGCTCTCACCTTAGGAGCAACCTTCTCCACTGCAGCAAAACCTGCCRTTCCTCTCCAATTGCACCCTACCTGATCACCTCTTCCAGCTGCCGCCTGGACCTCCTCTCACTCTTCCATCCCAACCTCCTTCCATGCCCATATATGCCAGAATACAACCACGTTTGCTAATATTGGAGTCCTCCTCTGGCTGCTCCCTTGTCTTGAAACATTCCCCCAATTTTCTCTCCCCTCCTCGGCTTCCTCTGCTGGCCTCCAGCCTCTCCACCTTCCTGAGGACATTCCACAGGGATGTGCCTTCCTTCTGCACCATATTCCTGAGCAACCTCACTGCTTCCACAGAGCGGGGTGTAAGGGCCATAAATAACTAACACTGATATTTTGTTATYCTACTTCAAACTCCTCTTCAGAATGGTGTTCACTAAAAATCTAGTAAGAACCAGAACACCAGTGACCACCAAGCTGATCACTCTCCSTCAACCCTTGTTTAATTGTCCAGTTCCATCTGTTTTCTCAGACTGGCATCCAGGGAAGCTGAGGCCTCTGTGACCCCACAGACCGGGTACGTCCGTGGGCACGGTTCTTTCTGTCCCATGGGCGCTCGTGGCTTTGTGCAGTTGGGCACTAGCCCGACACCCAGCTCCTGGGTATCTTCAAAACATTAAAGAGCAAAAAGGAGTTTCAGAAAGAAGTTTCTGCTCCGTAGGATTGCCTGGACAAGCTGTGAAAGGCAAAAGCTTTTGAAAACTCATGACAGATGGAACTCACATACAAGTCTCACATTTCCACCACTGAAGGATGACTGTGCAGATGTAATTCCCTCTTTCTGAAGGCTGCATGTCAAAAAAGACACGTCAAAAATACTACACAATCCATTATTTCACTTTTCTTTTTCTTGCCCTTTTTTTTTTTTTTTTTTTTTTTTTAAATACAGAGCTATCCTCGTAGTCAAGCCCTGGCGTACAGGAACTAAAGCCAAGATGGGTTTTTGCAGAGTATACTAAAAACTGTATGTAGAAATAATAAAGGCTTGAGCTCTGATTTTTCAAATTTCAAGTTTTCTTACAGACATATATCTAAATGAATACACATGTAATCCATTCAGCCAACAGATGTCCAAAATGCTCGAGAACAGTTTTTAAAAATGAGAATAAGTGAATCAAATAAATGCATTCCTGATCAAAAAGACATATTGATAAAAAACTTAATGCATGTAAACTGTACAATTAACGTATCTAACATTATTATTATGTTAGCTGTGCRAGCAAAAGGCCTAAAGACACAAAACCCGGAGTAATGAAGGTGCATTTACTTGTAGCAGTTGTACAAGCAAATCTCCATGAATATTTCTGCCATATAATTTTAATAATAATTTTTCTTACATAAGCACGAAATGTTTCTTTTCTGAAAATAATTTGTAATAAAGATAGGTCCCTTTTTAATAATAACAAAAAAAAATCATCTGAAGGAAAGTTTACTTCCACACATACTGTTTAAATGGAATACGTTAGAGAAGGTTGAATACATACTACTTGGACTTGCCCATCTTCGCCTATTTGGTGGATCTGAACCTGCTGAGCGTTGGCTAGTGCATAGTGTAGGGCCTGTGGCTGGTTCTGCTGGATCTCATTAGAGGCTGAAATGGCGCTCTGTGAACCCTCTGCAAGAGGCACAAAAATGCAGCTTTAGTATATTTGCACGTCTCATGCCAGTGGCCAAGCAACAATTTTACACTCAAAAATTGTGGAGAACCAACGCAGTCCGTGTGCAGGTTCGGCCATTTACATTCTTAGAAAGCAAGTTCACTGCTCACGTAGAGATTTCCTACAAGTTCCAATACAATTTCAAAGGCTATTTTGTCCCTGAGAGAGTATTAACAAAATAAACCTCAAAACAAGCACACTTCTGATTCTAGATTAAAGATTCTGCAACTGTTAAGGTAATATCACAGCAAAAATGCTGCACATAATTTTCTACGACATTAAACGTTTCCTTTTGTGCACCTGTGTGTGCTGAGAATTATTACTGTCACCACCAAAACCACCAGGATACTTCTGAAAATCCATCCTGTATAATGAAGCCATCATCTAACTCCATATAATTCAAACTGACATATGTAAGCATGGATTTTTTTTTTTAATCTCAAAATTGCATACATGGCATGTGCACAATCTCCAACCCCATGTGCCATTAATATAAGCAGACCACGAGGGCAACATAAGAATTCTTGCAAAAGCTGCAGGCATCTCATGGGAGAGGGACAGGGCGCGGGTGCAGAACACACCACAAATCCTAGAAAACAGCCACAAGGTTTTCGCTCGGAGAGTTTCAGTTCTTACATGAACACACACACACACACAACCCAAAGCTTTCCAGGCTAGAAAAAGCCTTTAAAGTTCCCCAAATCGGTAAGGTTCAGCACTGCACTGTGTATAGTGACTTCACTATACAGAAAGGGCTTTAGAATAATGTATTTGAAGAAATACATTAATAGACATTTCTTCTGGAAGCAATTTGAGGAGTTTTATTTTGCCTCGCCGCAAAAACGCATTAATGAAATCTTTCAAAGTGTTACATTTGTTTAAAATGTATTTGGATGCATCAGTGCTCTCTCAATGACTTCTATTTTAAGGTAATGTAAAACATGAACATCTCACACATAGTAGCATTTACCAATATGACTTTGAACCTGTACGAGCACAAGAAACTAACAGAAATATTGAAGAAAACTGTCCCACTTCCAGAGTACATAATTTTCTTCAGTAATTTTATTCATTGTTTAAATACAGACCAGATGGGCCTCATCCTCCTTATAAGTGGCTGACAGGTGACATATTTGGAGTCTAAAAATGATGGTTGGTTTCTGGCCCAACACACCAGAAAGTTGTGTTCCATAAAGTTCTAATGCCTGTTGCTTTTACAAGAATGAGCTTTATCCAGTCATACAAATAGTTTAATTGAAGCGTTCCTTAAAAAAAAAAAAGAAAAAAAGAAAGCATTTTCTAGAAATAAAAACAAAAGAAAAAAATGAAAAGATTTTTAAGGCCAAGTATATGAATTTGAGACCACTTCAATATCACTAAGCTATCATTTACTTTTCCGTTCGAAAGGTAAGATGCTTAAGAGTGCAATTAGTCAGCTCTAATTACATTAACGATCTGCAAATACATTAAAAAACCCGCAGCATTCTAACACTAACTGAGCACAACACATCAAATATGTATTTTTGTTATTTGTTGGTCGTGCATCTTTCGTATCTTACATTTGGCTGTTTTACAACCCCTGCTGATCTCCATTTCTTAAAGGCAGCCCTGCCAGGTGCTGCCAACAGCAGCCGACACGACGCATTCCGGCCAGGATTTGCAAACTGCAGCTGGGAGAAGAGCTGCGAAAGGAATTCCACGATATGAACCAAATAAAAATGGTTTGTTCAGACCTGTGACACGCTCCGCGAGGGCTCTGCCGCTGCACCCGGGGCTGCTCACCCCGGGAAACCACCACGTGCCCAAGCTGCTTCCTCTGCCTTTTCTCTCACCTCCACAACTCCAGTTACAGTAATATTTTTATGCAATTAATTTCCTTTGTTTTAAAAATAGCATTTTTCCAGGACACTGAACAGCTAAGGCTGCCTGCTGTTCTTCACCTCGTGTTTCCCTGCTTACCTTGAGCGCAGTCAGCTGTGCCTGCTCCCGGTCTCCCCCTATATAACTCAACAGCTGGTCAAGCAATGGTGTCCAAACACATAATCCTTCATATATATATATATATACACACACACATTGTGTGTGCACATGAATAGGCAATTTTTTTTTGCACATAAATAGCAAAGCTGGACTTGGGACAGAAATGAAGGATGAGGTAAGGACCCTGTTTCACTCCTAGGTAACCTGAATGTAGCATTATGAACCACCCTGCTCAAGGTTACTCAGAAATAGATTTCAGTTTGGCTTCCTTGCAACACCCACAGTTGAGTTTGAGGGGGGGTTAGTAATTGTCTTCTTTCTCTTTTCTTTTTTTAAGAAGAAAGGAGAGAAAAGGATTCAGCGGTGTCTAAAAACACCACATCCTTTATACATATTGTTTTCCTCCCCCTCTAAACCTCTGACCAGACCAAAGCAATATTTATCCATTTTTAAACATTGCCCATAAGAAAACAAACACCAGCATGAATAGCACACAGCTTGAAGGGAGACTACGTCAACACACATAAATCACTATCGTGTAAACTATCTGGCTTCTCCTTTACAACTTTGATGTCTTAGCAAATCCCCAGCCCGCGAGACCAGCTCAGCGCTTGCGGTGCAACTTTCACCCTCTGGAGAGCAGGCGGCTGGGCAGCAAAGCCCCCTCTTAACTTTGCAATTAATCCTTATTTCAAACCTTGGTATGTCYACATTTGCGCATGTATTTAGCTATAGGCACCTGTTAGAAGGATACTAACAGGTACCTATGCTGGCTTTTCTTTCAGTAAGCACAGAAAGCCGTGTTTTCCCCAGGAAATCACCCTGAGTGTCACTTGTCACAGCCACCCTCAGCTCCGCAAAGTTTTGCTAAATATTTATCGTTGGAGCATTCAAGCTCTCGTTTGGGAAGGCAGGGATTTGGCAGCAGCAGGATTCCTGTTTAATCTCCTTACTTACATATTTCCACGGGAGGCTGCTTTGCTAGCTCGGTGGGCGCCCCGCCGCACGCTTCCCAGCGAGCTAGCAAGGATTTCCTCACTTCCTTGGCTCCAGGTCTTAGAAGGACAGGTTAATGGGAGGATGAAGCAAAGCAGTTCTCAAAAATGGAAAAAGAGGGGGGAAATACAGCGATTAACGACCATTCACAGAAATAAAACTCTGGACAGTAAATTGTCAGGTTATCTAAACCTGACTCGGGCGGTGCTAAGTGCCTCCCATCTCACACAGGCAGATCTGCGTGTGTGACATTTGGCATCAGCTGAGCACTTCAGCCCACATCTACATAGAAATCCCAAAGCCAGAGAGCTTATTAATAGTTCCAACATGGAAAACTGTGATAACAGCCTTAATGATCTTAAGAGAAATTAAAAGAAAGGGAGAGAAGACACTCTTCAGCTAATCCTCCTCCCCAAAATCTCATTTCCTTCTGCCTTCCCCCCACAGACCACGAAAGGCTTTTAAAAGAATATCTCACTAACGCATCGTGGCAGCCACGTGTACAGCTGCTGTCAGGAAAATGAGGGAGCAAACACACACGTTGTGGACTGAAGCACTGGCTCCAGGCCAAAAAAACCAGCAACAGCTTCAAATCCAAGAGCCGGATAACGGTAGGGAACAACCTCGTCTGCCACCTAGCAGCCCTCTACAGCAGCCCATCAATCCGGGGCTGCTGGAAGGCTGCACAGTCAATTAAACCTGGGATAATCCTAACGAGCATCCTTGCGAGGGAAGAGCAGAGATGAGGCGCTCGTTGATATTTTTCTACCAGCTTCCTTAGATGTTTAGTCTGGAGACAGGTTCCTCTTGACAACCTCCTAACACTTAAACAGCATCACACAGTTACACTGGCAGCAAAGGCCAACTTAGGGGCTCAGCTCAGCCCTGTGCTTTCTGCATAGCMAATTTCTCCTTAGAATAAGCAGGACAGAGAAGAAATGCATTATCACTTTTAAAAACCTGATGCGAGTCCAAGCCACTGACTACATACCTTTTTGTGGAAAAGCAGAAAATGCCTAAAAGTTTTACATGCCCATTAAGTATGCAAGAGTGAAGCTCAAGTRTCGCAACCTCAAGAAACCCTCTTTAGAAAAAAATATTCCAAATGTATTTGTTAATTACACGTGCCACAACTCGATGCTCATAAAAATCGCAGGTCAGAGAACAGAGGAGAATGGAAGGGACCTGTGGCAACCGCACAGGGTGCTCACGATGACTTCCAGTCGGATTTAGAGCATCCCCAGGGATGGAGACAGCTCCACCTCTCTGCGCCAGTGTTTGACCACAGAGGCTCTTTTAGGATTAACAACAAAATTGTTTTACATGATACACAGGGATGTCTGATAACCTTCACTGTCAAACAAAAATTACAAGCTCTTCTAGAGGACTTTTTACACACCAACATCCAAACAAATATTCTGCAAAATATAAATGATATTGCGAAGTTTGAAGAAAGTGCCGGTATATTTTTGATTTGAAAAAAAAAATTATACATATATATAAAGATAAAACTGAAAACTACCTTACTATTAATCAGCCCCTAGAGATAACTGATGAAAAATATCACTTTATGGCAATCAACAGCAAACACAAAACTCCTCTGGATTTGAGCCTTTTTCCCATTGCACCCATCAGTCCTAATTTTCTATATGAAATAATAGGACCCCTTATGAGTTCAGAAGAGGAAAAACTACTCTGGAAACAGTTAATACCAGGAACCCAACAGGTACATTGCTGATGTGGTGCAACATGTCAGGCAATGGGCTTCCAGGCTTCTCCTGCATTGATTTAGAGGAGGTAGAAGCTAAACGCAACAGCTGGGACAAACAACAGTGGAAAAGACAGGTTCTCAAGTAGCCGAATTCCAGACCATTGAAGCCTCACCTTAAGTTGCCCCCTGAAACAAACGCTACCATAAAAACTGTCTGGGTTCATATGCAACGCTTTAAAAAGCCATATTTGACAGCTATGTTGTCATAGCTGTGAAATACAGACCTCCTTCACTTCAGAGCTGTGAAATATTACTTCTTCCTGCTAGCTGGCAGCAGCAGTTTTGTTAGATCCACTACGCAGCAGATATAATAAGTAACAGATGCCTGTGAATTATGATGCTGTAATTCCATTGAGGGGTCCCAGGGATGTCAAACCACAAAAGCAAAGTCTGAGCCGTTCATGAGGTTACCTGAACTTAAGGATGGAATTACAGCCCTGTCATGAAAAAGYTGCCTTTTAAACAACGCTTGAATCCACATTTTTTCCCTTATATGTTTACTTCTTTCTTTTTCCTATACAGTCAACCAGCTCCCATCTACTCTCCTATGCTTCTCAAACCTCCTCCTCTTTCTTCAGGTGTTGCAGRGGAAGTTAAATATCACCCACGGCTGCTTCTGGAATGCAAGCAAGATTTTTTTAGAAAAACACCTAATTCTGAAGTGGTGGGGTTTTTTTTTGTTTGCTTTACAACATTTTACCATTCCTAGGAATGACTCCAGTGGTGAATTCCATCACCTTTAAGCCCTCTCAGAAAACGATGCGAGTAACATGCCAAATAAGAGCAACATTTTAAAGAAAATTAACAACAACTATGAACCATGGGATATTTTCACCTACCCACAGGCAGCTACTAATGCTGTTAGTGACACTCTATTTTGTGCTGTGCGCAATGACGTGCCAAATTGCCTCGGCCAACTTTTATCACATCCAGGGCTAAAGACACCTTTAGAAGCAGCTGCATCGAACTCCTCTCTCCCTGAGGCAGCCTGGACCTTGCTGGGAAAGGCAAGCAGCATAAACGCTCCCTGGTAAGTCCAAAAGGTTGATGGAGCAAAGGGGCCAGCTGAGCTCCAGCTGAATGAGTTAAGGTTGGGCTCAGAGCCTGCGAAACTCAAGCTGGCTCTTGCAGAAGTGTCTCTGCCCCACGCTGATCCCCCCCGTGCACAGAACAGGCTGCTGAAAGGCCCACGAGTCAGCGGGGGTGTCTTTGCCCCTATGCAACAATTATGTACAAATAAGGTAAGTGGAGATGGGCTCAAATTACAATGAAACAGAAATTGGAATTATCAGCTAAAATAACAATAAGAAAGTCCATTGCCTTATGGCCTCCTGCAGACAAGAATGCACTGAACCTGAATCTGTGCTTTCTGTCTCTTGGTCTCCCCATTTCTCCAAACCAGGAGATAAAAGATATGAGTTTAGCTTAATGAACACAAAATTGTAATATCTACCTATTACTGTATTTTTATTCTAAAATGCTGATTGCTAAGGGATTGAATCACTATATATGGCTTATGGTTATCATTATGTTGATTAGTTGTTTTAATTTGAGAATTTTGGATATGATTCCCAGTTCCAGCACATAAAACTTTCCATTGAAAGCAGATTTTGGCATTCCTTGCATGAGATACAGTGGTTAGTGTTAACATGCAACCAAAAATTTTATGCAGGCAAATAAACTTACTTCCTCTTCTTGGGGCTAACTTCCAAAACACTGTTTTTAATATATGATGTACAAATATCCCATAACGCTGCTTTATATTAAAAGCAAGAGCCAGAAGTGTCGTATGAGAACACTTCTTAGGTCAATATTTTTCATTTGTTATTGTTATTCGTGTCTATATACCTATATGGAAATACAGAATCACCTACAACAATTTTTAGGCCGCGTGCCTTTCTTTAGGGGAAAATATCTTGTGAAGAAAATGCAGCATGTCCTGTTGAGCGGTGTGAAAAGGATTTATTCCCTTGACTCTTGACGTTCAGGTGTGGACAGCACTTGATGCTGCACATCAGTATTGCCTGCTCAAAAAATGCAGCGTGGTTCAAAAAAAAAAAACAGACCAGCAAGAAGCTCCATTTGCCAGATTGTTTCACTTGGAAATCATCTCAGTGAAGCAGGGAGTACTAATGAACAGAGCCAGTCTCCGTCACGCACTGAAATGGACTTTCATGCACTTTCATTCCTGAAGAAGTCTATATTTTACTGTCGTTGTAGTCTCCCTTCTCACATTGCTCCTTATGGAAATAGGGGCTGATGTCACTTGGACGAACGCTGCAGTGACACCTCAAGATGCACCACAGACATATACCCACAGGATAAGAGAGAGAGAGAGAGAGAGAGAGAGAGAGAGAGAGAGAGAGAGAGAGAGAGAGAGAGAGAGAGAGAGAGAGAGAGAGACACTTTTCCCAATAATAAATTTTACATCAAAAAGAGCTGTAGTGCTGTAAAAATGTTTTAAAAAAATCAACTGAAAGAAACAATAACTCCATTTCCATTCCTTTTTCATAAGGATAGTAAAATGTGTAGGTCCTACATGCACCTGTTGTAAGAATAGTTCAAAAGCAAAGCTACTTTCAGGTATATTAAAAACAAATTGCATTATTACTGTAAGTTTCCATTTCTCTGRTTTGCCTTTTGTTGTCGTGTTTCTATCTTTACCTGAACCACTGTAAGATGATGATGAAGGTGTTCGCCTTGAAAAGCTTTTCACTGCAAGACTCTGGCCTCGCTGCTTCCGTCTCCAGGCTGTTCGGCATTTGGAGTCTATGCTCTGCTTGATACGATACCAGTCAGACTCTGTGATGCCAAATTTATAAAATAGGTGACCTGTAATTAGAAAGAAGCACAAATGGATAGAACCCAGAAAAAAAAAAATCTGCATTCTCATGACAACACATAAACAGCCCACGCTGATAGGCGCTCAAAGAGAACAAATTAACTGAAAACTTTAGGGCTTCCCCTCATGCCAAAACACCCTAAAGGAATATAATGAAATYAAGAAAATGCCAAAGCTACATAGTGGTGTGGTTTTACAAGCTGTTAGTAGAACTAAGTAATTGTATATACGCACAAACCAGCTGTGCCTTTAAAAATGCCACCAGTCTGTGAAATTGCTCGATCTACGCTTCTATCCATGACAATTGCACCATTTCAATCAAGAGGTGCAATTCTGAAAAACGGGGGGATTTCATTCCCCYGTGAAAACTCGATGAAGCTGCCATTACCACCAGCAGTGCCACAACACGCTCAAGGCTGTTGAGTAGGAAGCTAGGCTGAAGCTCCATATAAAATGGACAAACTCCTTTAAAGTTCACTCGAAGATTCATCAAAATCCAATAAAAAGGCAGTACAACATTCAAATCTAAAAACGTTACYGCTAGCACTAAGTGAAGTCATCTGAGTCACATTCTGCACTTCTCAACACTGCTATTTGAACAGTTTGTGCTGAATCGCCAAACTGATTATATAAAACCAACGYGGACTTGCGAGTTGAACTGCTCGAGCACTTTGCAGTAGCCCTTACACACAGAGTCCTSCTGCCAACTCCAACCGGGTTCGTTATCACGTGCAACCTCTGCAATCAAAGCAGAGCCYTGGCCACACAAGAAACAGAGCAATCCAAAGTCTCTCTCAGGTATAAGGGAGGAAAGAAGAATGAGAAAAATACYGATTTCAACATCTGAAAACGTAATTAAAACTTGGGAAGGGAACGTGTTGTGCATTGTCAGCTTTCTTACACTGTTGCAGAYTCCTAGCATTTTACTATAAGCCTTGCCTACAGTAGTTTATATTTTGCTTCAAGTATCAAAAGTTGAGGGAATTTGATTATATGTTTAGAATATATCAGGAGGAATAAATATCTTCATCAGAGCAGGAATAAATGCTTGGAAAATAAATGAAAAGATTCAGAAACCTTGAAGAAAAATAGAACTATCATAACATTTATTACTGTTTAAAACTTCAGGATTTTAAAACTTTCCAGAATTATTTAGATGCACAGTAGGGCAGTTAGAAATCAATCTACAGTTGTAATATCCCTGTCTACCCACTTGGCCCTCAGTTGCCAGCTCTTCTCATACCTCCATGGATAAAATCATCTCTCAGCCTACCGCGTTTACCATCTTACTCTCCAGCAGGCTCCTGACAAAGTACTTAAACACATGCTTAAATTGCTTGATAATCCTATGGAGGGGATAAGGTCTGTTCCTGTATATTAAGACCATTGATTTGAAGCCCAGAGAAGCAAAATTCTAGCTTTGCAGAAAGCGAGTTTGTTTGCTCCTTTGTATTACAAATGAGTTGACAGTCCTCAGAAGCTGCAACCCACACGTTACTGTGTGAAACACAATCGCACGGAGTTCTGTATCTCTCAAGTTATCATCACTTCTAACAACACATCTTTTCACTGATGCTCTGTTTTATTGCACCTTTGTTCAAAGGGCARTTTGAAATAAAGCAGGGAGCATTTTGAGAGAAAGACCTGGCATCAAAAAGTCAATTCTGAAGCACCATAAAGGCTCAAGATTTCTCACTGGCAAGTGACAGGGAGCATGTTCCTGAGACTGCTTTACAGCCCCTGTATGATCATTCTCAAAAGGGGGTGAGGGTAGGAAGAAAACTGAAATTATCTGCCGCTGTGTAACAGTTTCCATAGGTGTCAGCAAATTGAAAGCACATGCTGTACTGAAAATACTCAGGCCACACCTCCAAATGTAATCTTTTGCTTTAAAAAATAATATGCAATATACAGATAAATGGGTTCGTAAGTGTTTGCAGTAATGTCCAATGCAAACACTTGTGTTTCTATTCTTCATACGACTTGGGCTGTCAGCTTGTACACAGGACTTGTGCAGTTCTACATAAAACGGTCGTATGCTTTGTGGTTATCTTGAACAAATTTCACGTCCATATTTCATTCATAAATACATTTTAATGATTTTCATGTTGTGTGCTGATCACTAAGGAAAGTGACGAAATTAGTTGCAGATTCCAGAAACGTCTTGCAGAAACAATTCTAAATGTTACRCTGTAATGCACGGGCTATTCCAGGTTGCTGCCTGATTCAAACAGAAATCAAAGGCAACTGAAGCTGTTTGGGATAATGTAGCCTCGGGGGCAGTGAGGGCAGGAACATGAGGAAGACGGTAGAGGCCACAGCTACAACCTCAGATGCCCAAGATCTGAGTGAGATGCTCTAGTGAGAAAAGACGCCCTCTTTTAAAAAAACTTACAAAACTTACCTTCCAACCAATGATAAGGAATGTTGCAGCAATTACCACACGTGAACACAGTCCTTTGACCACCAAAGAAAATCTGATGTGAACTAATTACACTGGAGTATTTCTCAAGTGCACATAAAAATTCTCAGAAGAAATTCACTATAGCAACATTAGAGATAGAGTTTACATGTGATGCAGAGATACACATTGAAAATGTCTACAAGCAATATCAGAAAATCGAAGCGTTGACTTTCTGCTCATTACCAATAGCTGCTCACAGGCAAGAGAGCTTTTAGCTAAATTTAGGTCATGTTGCAAGTGAGACTTTGAACTTGGGAAAGTCCACAGTAAAAAAGACAGAAATGCTTCAGCATGAACAGATTCAACTTCTTACAGAACATTTTCCAGTCAAAAGCAGCACGAAATATTATAATGTATAAGCCACACCGTATCTCGGAGCCACGCAACAGCCCTGTTAAATACACATTAAAATATATCCAGCAAYATAATTCAGCCCTTTGGCAAAAGGACAAAGTATTTTGGAAGATCAATGCATTTACACAACAACAGTGAAGTAAAGAATTCAGATCATCTAAGGATGGCTAAAGGAGTTTGTAGAAAATCTCTTTATCTAGGGCAACAGTTGGTTGCTGGTAATACTCAAAACAAAGGATGTGCTTGTTTTTAAACCTTAAGGGTCCAACATCTGCTTTCTTTAGGAACCTCACTTCCTAAACAAGTCCTTTATGAAAAAAATACACCAGAGAAATGAAAAAGCTCAGTTATTTAATAAATTGCAAGAGCTTGAGTGATTTCCACAAACCAGACAAATACCAGAGACAGAGATGTCTGCAAGAGGAATTCCTAGAGAGACCGAGTATCCTGGAGTGCACACAGAGGATATCACTGATCCTTGCTTTGCATCCACTTTTCGCAGCAAAGTGCAAGAATCAAGAGTCCAATCTTATCAAGCAATAGCTTGGAAGAAGGCACTCGTGCATCTGGAAAATTAAACAAATCATCTTTAACAGCCAACAGGTGTCTCTTACTAAGTATATTAGAAACGCAGTGCTAGTTCTGGCTAACTTTTTGCCAGAGTTCATCTAAAACTAAGCTGAACGATGACACAATAAAGTCTTGAATACTTCTTGTGCATCTTCTTTTCATGGTTCAAAGAAAACAACTGAGCTTGGAAAGACAGAGATGGTCTGGTACAAATGCATAGTTCATCAACAAAGACATCTGAAATGACTATATACTCCCAAACTCTTGGGACATTTAATGCACGATATAGGGAAGAAGATCTTTTGCTTTTTAAAAACAGAGTTAACAAAAAAAGTCCATGAAAATAATATTCACAGGAAAGAAATCCTTTCTTTCGTTAAAGGTCAGAAGTCAGTCAGCAGACACAGCAATCCACCAAAAACACAAAGCTGTAAAGAAATCTATCAAAGAACAGGGGAGGCTGAAAAAACTTACGTAGTTACAAAACTAAACATGAAATATYCTGTCTTGCTTTGGCTTTCAAAATCAGCCTCCTTCAAAAGAAAAAAAGAATCGTAATATTGGTATTAAAGTGACTTAGATTACTGGTAGATTGTGTTGCTTCCCTTTCACTGTGAATCCGTGAATGCATATCTTTATCTTTAGATATCTCTAGATATTTAAAGTAATCTTTAGATATTTAGGTATCTTTAGAAAAACAAAAGGTAAATCATCATTATTTGCGTGAACTTGGCAGAGCTCCCTTGGCTGCCTTTTATTCGTACATGGCACTGACTTTATTATCATTACGCTTTAAAAGATTAGAAAATGTTACCCCAGAGAATTCAATGGACACATATAAAATATGTATGTATTTAGACTGACATAGAACACAGATTTCGTTAAGTGATCTATTGTCAAATTCAACATTATTTTTAAGTTTAGAGGAAACAGCAGAAGGACACACATTGCAAACTCAGAATCTATACAGAACGGAATCTATACAGTTTTTTTTTAAACTCACAAGAAAATGACAGATACTATGCAAAAAACAAGAGCTTCGGATTTTGCCTGCACAGAATCACGAAGAGGGGTGATTATTTGGTGTTTTGGCTAACAGGACACATTTTTTTACAGAAGGGTCATACATGTGGAGTTTTTTTTCCCCTTAAACTAATAACGTATGACAACAAAATCTGCTGCACTCAATATCTGAACTACGCAGAAAAAAAATTAGGCACCTCTGAAGTTGATTTCTTGCCTTCAGGCTTCAGTTCCTCAAATGCAATTACACTCATGCGCGGCCCATATTGAAGCAATTTTAGAAAGCATAACTGTTTACTCGTCGTTTTGGGGGGGATACATTCCTGGTACATGGGCTGGGGGGCCGGTTCCCCCCGAGGAAGCAGCAGGGAGGCGGCAGCTGCCTCACCAGGCACTTGCTGAGGTAGCGGTGGCCGCCTCACCAGGAGCTCGCTGAGATGGCGGCAGCCGCTCGCTGAGGTGACGGCAGCCGCCTCGCTGGCCCTCATCACTGAGATGACGGCAGTGGCCGCCTCACCAGGCGCTTGCTGAGGTGACGGCGGCAGCCACCTCACTGAGGTGACAGCAGCGGCCGCCTCG